GCTGGTTTCACAAGGCTTGCTTGCAGGGCTTGAAGAGAGTTTTAAGTGTTTACACAGTCTGTAGGAATACCTGTATTTCCTCTAGGTCTGAAGTTAGGGAGTGCTGGTGGCCTAGTGGGTAAGGAGCTGTGCTGCTAACCCAAGCACAGGTGGTTCAAACTCAGTAGCTGCTCCAAAGGAGAATGATGGGCACTTTACTTCTGTGTGAGTCACAGACTCTGAAAACCTGCTGAAAGATCCACTATGAGGCGTGAAGTTGGAGTCCTTTACAGCCTTACAAGTGGGGTGGGAGGGGGCAGGGAGTGTGTGCTTCTTAGAGGTCTTTAAGAGAGGAGATTGTTCTCTCCCTCATCTGTTTCAATGCAGTGTACATCCTTCCTCCCCTCATTTTCTGTCTTCCCTCAACCCTGATGTCAGACCCGTTTTACAAGTAGTGGCCCTATGCAATATTTGTCCTTTTGTGACTGAGATATTTCACTCAGCATAATGTCCTCTAGGGTCATCCATTTTGCATAATATTACATGAGTTCCTTGTTTTCCATGCTGTATAGTATTGCATTGTGTGAATATACCACAGCTTCTCTAGCCATTCGTTTGTTGATGGGCACTTGGGTTGTTTCCAGCTCTTTTCTGTTGCGAACAAAACCGCAGTAAACATGGGTGTGCATTTATCTGCTTGGATGGCAGTTATGGTTTCTTTAGGGTAAATTCCCAGAAGTGGAATTGCTGGGTCAAATGGTATTTCTATTTCCAACTTTTTGAGAAAGTACCATGCTGCCTTCCACAGTGGTTGCACCATTCTACACTCCCACCAACAGTGAATAAGGGTTCCAGTCTCTCCATAACCTCGCCAGCATTTGTTGTTTTCCAGTCTGTTAAATTTTGCTATTCTTACTGGGGTGAGATGATATCTCATAGTTGGGTATTATTGTCTTGACAGGAGTCCAGAATGAAGCTTATACAGTGCAGTGGCCTTGGGAGGAGGGATTTCATAACAATGAAAGAGTTTTTCTTTTACTTATCAAGGAGAAAAGTGAATTGTGGGGGAGAGGGTGTGCAGGGAGAAAAGTGCAACAATAAATGATTAGAAACCCTAAGTCACTGAAAACTTTCACTAAAATTAATAATAATAGTAAAACAAAACAACAAAAGAGAAGAGATTGTCCATCTTTTTTCCTGTAGATCACCTGGTGGATTCAAACTGTCTGCCTTTGAGTTGGAAGCCAAACTCCTTACCCACTTGGCCACCAGAATGTATCTGAACTTGTCCATGGAACCACCATCTTGGTCTCTTCTTGTGATAGCCTCATCTCCACACTCGACCAGGCCTCTTGGAGTCACTTTCAGATCACTCCCAAGCAAGTGACTCTAACTGCTTCCATCGCAAATAAAGGATCACAGTGTCCACCTAGCCTGTGTCCTTACAGGTTGCAGCCTGACTGTGGCATATGTCCACATGTGGTAGGACTCCCGAACAGCCCACAAAGGCCTCCGGACCATCAAGGTGTGTCCACCAGGTCTGGGCTCGGCCTTATACCTGTTCGTGGAGTTAGCATCTACTATCTGTGTTTCCTGACCTGCTTGGAGGCTCACTAGGCTGTCCTGTGTCCCCTAAGTGGGCATCTATCCATGTCCCAGCCTCTGGAGAACTTGAGGGAGCTCAGCATACAGCATTTCTTCAGGCTTGAGCCATTGACAGCCAGAGGCATCTGATGACATGTGTTACAAAATTTGAGGCCTGGGCAGATGGATAGGTGGGCACTTATGTTCAGAAAACATTGATTTGATTCCATGGATGAAAGTGTGAGGGTGGGCCGTTCGAAGAGGAAATAGAAGCTCACACAGGACTCAGGGTAGAAGTGTTTGGCGGTAGCAGCTGTTAGATGCCGTCGCCCCAACAATGACCCGCGGCTACCCCATACACAGCGGCTCTGAGCCCTGCCCCATCCTGCACCATGCTCACATTCTCTGATGTGCCCGAGCCATTGCTGCAGCCACTGTGTCCGTACATCTCATTGAGTGTCTTCCTCACTTCCTCTGCCTTTGCACCTTTTCAGGCACCATGTCCTTCTCCAAGGACGAGCCCTCCTGACAGGTGCACTCTGTTGTCCAACACAGATCTGTTTGTTCTTTTAGCAGTCCCTGGGATAGTAAGTACTCATCTCCAGCACCACAGTTCAGAGGCATCACTTCTCTTTTCGTCAGCTTTATCCATTGTTCAATTTTCAGATGTGTAGTAAAAATAGAAAATACCATGGCCTAAATTAAGCACACACATAGACCAAGAAGCAGTGGCAGTAACAGTAGTAGTCCAGTAATACCTTTGTTGTTATGTGCCATTGAGTTGCCTGCGACTCATAGCAACCCTATGTACAAAGCTCTGAAGCCTGCCCTATCCTGAGCCAGTCTCACTGACTCTGACACATCTCTCCCCCTTTACCCTAGTTATTGTATCAGTCCATCTCATCGAGGGTCTTCCTCTCCTGTGCTGTCCCTCCATTCTTCCAAGCATGATATTCTTCCCCAAAGACTGGCCCCCTTCTGGCCATGTGCCCAAAGTATGTGAGACAAGAGTTCAAAATCCTAACCTTCAAGGAGAACCTTGGTTTTACCCTCTCCAATGCAGATCTGTTAATCCCTTGGTGGTCCATGGAATGTTTGATACTCTTCTCCAACACCACAGTTAGAGGCTTTTATTTTTTTTTTTTAAATTTTTTTTAAAATTTAGGTTGTTAATTTTTCATTTCAATGAACATCTACAGAGATTTTGGGATTCCATTCATTCATTGTTGCACCCTTCTCCCCGCACAAACCCCT